ATCCCCACTAATTGATGAAAAACATTCATAACCCACCAAATGACCAAAAACCACCCTCCCCACCTCTTGGGAAAGTGGGTGTTGTGTTCTCTTCTCTAGGCTGCTTCCTGTTGTCTGGGGGCAATGGCATCCCCAGAGGACTCAGAAAATTGAGATAATGGTCAAGTCCTAAGAAAACTAGATATAACATTTGTTGTCCAGTCTCTGTGTAATGGGAAAGTGCAAGGCTTATCTGAACTTCTGGCTGGAATAATCTGTGAGGCTGGATCATCTCAGTTAGCAATATTGAAGTTCTGAATGCAGAACTCTGAAGAAACTGCAATATAGGAACTCTGAGAGGCTGAATCACCTGGGCCACCCATTTTCATTGGTGTCTGGTCCCCTTGCTCTGAAAACACACAGACGTTGAAAGGTAACATACATATCTGCATTAACATAAGTATGGACTGTTCACTGTACTCAAGTCAACCAAAGATGACTTTTTTGTTTTATGTTTGAACAGGTAAAACTCTATCAACTTTGTAAGTTAGTTTGGACTGTATAACCACACCTCCATTTATTTATTTATTTATTTATTTTGGTTTTTCGAGACAGGGTTTCTCTATGTAGCTTTGGAGCCTGTCCTAGAACTCACTTTGTAGACCAGGCTGGCCTCGAACTCACAGAGATTTGCCTGGCTCTGCCTCCCAAGTGCTGGGATTAAAGGTGTGTGCCACCGCCGCCTGGCCCCAAACCTTCATTTATGCCATATGAAACAATGGCATGTAATAATAAGTCATGAGGACTCTGTAACCAACAAGATCTATCATGTATCATCCAATCTTAGAGCTATTTCCATGTCAAGAGATCAGCATATACGGTACCTGTCTGTAAATGGAGGCAGAGTCTTTTTGTCCTGACACCCCGCAGCTACTTCCCAAATTACCACACAGAGGCATATATATATATATAAACATTTGGTTGATGGCTCAGGCTTATTACCAACTAGCTCTTACATTTAAATTAGCCCATATCTATTAATCTATTTATTGCCATGTGGTTCGTGGCTTACCAGTTCTCTGGCATCTTGCTTCTTGGGCAGTCGGCTCATATCTGTCTTGACTCCGTCCCTCTTCCTCTGAGTCCTTAGTTTGAGTCTTCTGCCTAACCTTATCCTGCCTTGCCATAGGACAAAACAGCTTTATTTTCAACCAATGAGAGCAATACATATTCACAGTATACAGAAGGATCATCCCACAGTACCTGTCTTATAGTTTTTCTAGGTTTATTTCTTCATGTCTGTAGCCAAGATTTTCAGGAGCCTCCCCCAATCAAATCTGACCTCTATTAATTTTTAAGGAATCCACAGTCTTTTGTTTCCTGTGGACACAAAAGCATAACCTCTCTCCCAAGGCAATACATTTTCTGAATTCCACTTTAATGTTAAGACATCCCCTAAGGTACCTAGGCTGGTTTAATTCAATAGTTTCTTTTACAATACCATGTCTCTCTGTAGCTGCCATTCACTCATCAGCATTCAAAAATTTAAAGTCAACAAAACACCATACAGGCTCCAGATTCCCTGTGTATTTCCCATCTTTACATGGTTTATTCTTTTTATATTACTTTATTCTTTCTTTAAAGACTTTACTTAATTATTTTTAAGCTATTTGTTTGTTCCTATGACAGTCTATACCCATTTTCTTTTCTTTTTTAAGCACCTATGCACACAGTAACCTTTTAAAAAAGTTTTTTTTCGGTCTTGGCCCTGTTTTACTGTGCACCTGTAAACATTCTCTGACCACGTGAGCCAGTCCTTAAACTGCTAAGCAATGGCTAGACCCTCCACCAAGAGGCTTTGGTGGTTGGCTCTGCCCTCTCCTCAGGTCTTTGAGAGCTGAGCCTGAAACCCACCGGGAGCTGAGTTTAACCGAGAGCTGCATTTAACTGCCCCAGCTCCAGGAAGTTGATACCTGCACTGTGGCAAGCATTTTTACTTAGCTTCCTGGCTACTCAAGTGCTCTACTGAACACAGGCGCCTCTTAAAGGAGCTGCATCTGTTTTTGGTTTTTGTTTTTCTCAGCTTTCTCAGGCCCTTTGTGGAAATTTGGACCCCATGCTGGGCACCATTCTGGGATCATTCTTAAATAATAATAATAAAAAAAATGTGTGCAAGCTTGTAGGCCATAATGGTGGCTGCCATTTCTTTTCTTTTTTATAAAAAATATTTATTGTTTATTTATATGTATGTGTGTGTATCTTTGTGGATGTACCTGATCTTACGTGTAGGTTCCCAGGGAGGCCAGAAGAGAACAGCAGTCCCTCTGTAGCTGGACTTGAAGGCAGTCATGTATGTACTGCCCGATGTGGGTGGATCGGAACTCTAGTCTCTGAAAGAACAGCAAGTGCTCTAACTGCTGAGCCATCTCTTCAGTCCCCATAATTGCCATTCTGAGAGTATCTGCATACACAGTAGGCCAGGCATGGGCTAGCTCTAGCAATGTAGACACTATTTCTCCTGCTCCTTGGATGAGAGAGCCGAGAGAGGTTAAGTAATTTGCTTAACCTCTACTTAAACAGCTACTAAGTAATGAATCAGGATCCAAACCTGGATCTTCCCAGCTGCAATCTCATTTGATGACACCATGGCTGCCGATCAAGTACTATACTGAAGGAGAGCTTGCCTCACCCTTATTTAATGCTCATCCGCAGAGGACACAGCACTCATATTAGTAGTGGATGTAGCAGTTAGGGTCAGTATAATGGGGAATCCCACCAAGCAGTGTGTTTTTATTTGTCCCCCCCCCCCCCGCCATGTGTGTGTATACACACGTCTGTGTTCATGTATGTGTGGGCACATGTATGTACACATGTGGGGGCCCAAGGTTTGACACTGGGAGTCTTCCTCCATTGCTTTCCCCTAGCTCATTGAGACAGGGTATCTCAATCGAACCCAGAGATCATTGATTCAGTTAGCCTTCTGAGTGCTAGAATTACAGGTGGGTCCTCACACCTACCTGGCATTTAGTGTAGGTTCTGGGGACCAGACCTCCAGTCCTGACATTTGCCCTTTAACCACTGCACCAGCTACCTGTCCTTGGTGTTTTTTGCTCTGTAGAAAGAAAATCTTGAGAGAAATTTTAAATTTGCATGAATTATATATATTTTTCTGGGTAAAAGAAACAGCTTTGTTTTCTCTTTAGAAAAAAAATTTCATACAGTATTTTTTTATCATATTTTTTCTCTTTCCAATCTTTTTTTTTTCTTAAAATTTTCAAAAAGGAATTAGTTTGACATTTGAGACATTTGTAGCCCTAGCTACCCTGGAACTCACTATGTAGACCAGGCCGGTCTGGAACTCACAGAGATTGGTCTGCCTCTGCCTCCTGAGTGCTGGGATTAAAGGCCTGCAACACCATGCCCAGCTCAGCTTCTAAAAAGGTTTTTGATCTTGGGTGTGGTGGCATACACTTGTTTTCCTAGCACCTGAGGCATCAAGATTGGGAGTTCCAAGCCAGAATGGACTGTGGTTCGGGACCCTGTCTCTAAAATCAAAACAAAACGAAAACGTGAAATCCATTGCTTTTATTCTATTCATTGGAATAGCTCTTATGTAAGAGATTCATGGTATTGTGTCATTATAAGGGGAACACAAAGAGCCCAATAAAATGGTAAGAATATGAGGTTCAGTGGTAAAATATGCATGGCCCTGGGTTCAAACCCCAGTACTCCCAGAGTAGGATAAATCTGATAGCATTTCTCAGCAGGCTAAGGCAAAAGTCAGAGCTAGGATGACAAGGCTGAGGGAAGTCAGGCGCCTTCATCTTGAGGCCATGGAAATTCCAACTTTATTTGTGTTAGGTGGGTGGTCTTGTGGAGAAGGGGGTGTCATCGTAGGTCTTCTTCATGCTGGTTGTATGCTAAGAGAATGTTCAGACAAGGTCTTAGGATAGGACATGGAGGGATGGCTCAGTGGTTAAGAGCACTGACTGCTCTTCCAGAGGATCCAGGTTTGATTCCCATGACTCACTACCATCTGTAACTCCAGTTCTAGAGGATCCCACACCCTCTTCTGGCCTCCTTGGGCACCAGGCACACATGTGGTGTACAGACATACATGCAGGCAGGACAAACACCCTTCCATAGATACATAAAAAAAGTTTTAAGAAAACTGTAGCTGGAGTTTTCTCTCTGGGTCCTGCCAATCCCCGGCAGTCCGACAGCCCACTTATAAAATAAACACACAGACTCTTATGTTATTTAAACTGTTTGGCTTAATGGCTCAGGCTTCTTGCTAGCTGTTCTTATATCTTAAATTAACCCATTTCTATAAATCTATACCTTGCCACGTGGCTTGTGGCTTACCGGTACCTTACATCTTGCTTTTCATGGCAGCAGCTGGCAGCGTCTCTCTGCCTCAGCCTTCCACTTCCCAGCTCTATTCTCCTCCTTGTCCCGCCTACACTTCCTGCCTGGCTCCTGGCCAATCAGTGTTTTATTTATGAACCAATCAGAGCAACACATTTAACATACAGAGCATCCCACAGTAGAAAGCTATACTTTTTATACTTTTATGCTGAAGTATAAAAGGCCCAGCTAAGCAAGGTGGCTCACACCTGTAACCCTAGCCCTCCAAGACACCACAGCAGAAAAAATGCTTCGAGTTTTTTTGAGGCCAGCCTAGATTTCATGGTGAGTTTTAGGTCAGCCTGTCCAAAAAGAAGAAGAGGAGGAGGAGGAGGAGGAGGAGGAGGAGGAGGAGGAGGAGGAGGAAGAGGAGGAGGAGGAGGAGGAGGAGGAGGAGGAGGAGGAGGAAGAGGAGGAGGAGGAGGAAGAGGAGGAGGAGGAGGAGGAGGAGGAGGAGGAGGAGAAGGCAAACAAAAACAGAAAGCAGACACTTTCTGGAAGTTTGTGTGGTGACACACCCATGAGCTGGGGAGTTACTGGTCACTGGCCAGTGACAACAAGCCCTGCTCTCTTATGTGACTTGAAATATTTTTTTTCTCACTTTGGTCATTTAGAAAAAGGATCTTCCACCTGCAAAGTGCGCCCACCCTGCACAGACAAGGATTATTTCTATACCCACACAGCCTGTGATGCTAACGGAGAGGTGGGTAGCCCGCTCCGAGCCCCTGTTCCCCGTTCCTTGGACTTGACCAGTGTTCAAGCTCCATTGGTCATTGAAACTGATATTGGAGAGCCCCCCCCCCCCCCAAAACCTGCGTGATGAACCCAGGCTAGGGAGGGGCCAAAGGACGTGGCTTCATTCGTGCTCTGGTCAGACTCTCCTTTTGCCTGTGTGGATCACTCAGTATTGACACGTGCTCTTTTTCAAACCCTCTCCATTTTCGTTTGCTTGGTTTCTCCCGTCCGCTTACCCCCGGGCCGCACCTGCCCATCCACATCTGCTGCTTTCCACAGAGATCACTCAGTCTCACACGCTGGCTGTTTCAGGTGAGAGTAGCGGGAACCTCTTCCTACTCCCGACTCCCTGGAGAACGGCCTGACTGATTTTAGTGCCCACTGTTTCTCCCAGCCCCCACCCACACTGGACCTTCCCCTCAGGAGAAGACTTTCCTTGTAGTCTGGGTGTCCCTGGGCTGACGAGCCATGCTTGTGTGAACTGATGTGTCCGGCTGGGGACCAGAGATGACTGAGTTGCATCCCCACTCCCACAGAGCTCACGGGGCCGCAGGGAGGCTGCTGGCAGTGGTGGCACACACCTTTAATCCAGCACCTGGTCTACAGAGCCAGTTCCAGGATGGCCAGGGCTACACAGAGAAACCCTGCCTCGGAAAACAAAACGAGCCGGGCGGTGGTGGCGCGCGCCTTTAATCCCAGCACTCGGGAGGCAGAGGCAGGTGGATCTCTGTGAGTTCGAGGCCCACCTGGACTACAGAGTGAGTTCCAGAAACCCTGTCTCGAAACCACCCCACCCCCCCCCCAAAAAAAAAAAGGAAAACAACAAACAGAGGAGAAAGAGGGCCCCACTCCCATAAGGCAGTAAGGTGATGTGCAGGGCCTGAGAGAATCCTAAAAAAACAGAACAGGCCTGAGCAGCCAGAGAAAACCTTTTTGAAAATGCTGTTCAATGGTCAATGATATTGAAGAGGGTGAGGGGGAGTTTTTGTTTTGATTTTTTTTATTTTTGAAACATAGTCTTACTATGTAGACAGTGCTGGCCTAGAACTTACTGAGATCCTCCTGCCTCTGCCTGGGATTAAAGGTATGCATTACCATGCTCAGCTAATAAAAAGTTTTTTTGACAAGAGTCAACAAATCTTTTCTGAAGACAACTGGTCTCTATCTCCTCTATCATAGATCCCTCATTAGACACACCTTTCCTCCTCTGTTCAACATTTATTTGGCAGACAGTCGCTGGGTACAAACATGTGACCAGAACAGAATTCTCTACTATTTCTAGAGTTCTTATCTTTGCCCAAATCTCCAGCATCCCCCAACGCTCTTGTTCTGGTCATGGGCTAAATCCTATACAATGCTGAATCTGGCTTAATCCATTTTTGCAGACACAGCTCATGTACAAATGGGCCATGCCAAAAATCTGTGGTGAGGACCTGGAGGGAGCAGTGAAGCTGCCCGCCTCTGGGGTGAAGACCCGATGCCCACCCTGCAACCCAGGCTTCTTCAAAACCAACAACAGCACCTGCGAGCCCTGCCCCTACGGCTCCTACTCCAATGGCTCTGGTAACAGTCCTGTCGCTCTGTTTCTTACATCCTCTCCATCCTGATATTGGCCGTTGGGTGGGCCGTGCGAATGAATGCCCAGAGGAGCTAGCCGGATGCGCTCTGCCTATCCTCGGAGGGCAGTGAAGGGCAGGCCAGTTCTGAGGACCAGGTTTAGGGGTCTGTAGGTCAGGGTCAGATTTAACACCTGCTCCTCCTCCTGCCTCACTGCATCTGCAAACGTGACTCAGTCTTCACAACAGAGACGTCCAGCATGTGACAAAGATGCTAACTAGAAAGTTCATGGGTTAAGACAACCAACTGGACAGAATCCCAATCTGTAAGATACGCTGCAGAAAGGAGTTGGGGGGAGGGGGGCCGTGTACCTGCTAGAACAAATGCATTTGATGACGATGTGGGAATCGAGGGAAGTATGTGAGTAAGATTAAAAGGTACATCAAAATGAATGTTTGATAAGAAAGGGCAGTTGGCGCACTGGTCAGTGTCTAATCTGCACGTGTTGTTTTGAGTCCCTCTGACCTATCTTTTAGCCGCAGCCCTCCTCGTCCGCCGCGTGGCTGACACTTGTCTGTCTGACAGCGGTTGGGTTCCTCCTGGGTGACGGATCCTTGTGCTTCTCCTAGATTGTGCCCACTGCCCAGCAGGAACGGAGCCTGCAGTGGGATTTGAGTACAAATGGTGGAACACGCTGCCCTCCAACATGGAAACTACTGTTCTCAGCGGAATCAACTTTGAGTACAAAGGCCTGACAGGTGACTGTCACCTCCCTCCACCCCATGCTGTTACTCTTTGTACTCCCACGGGGAACCATCCATTCCCCGGAAAGTCCCACTCCTTCCAGCAGACAGCTACCATTGCTTAGTTTCAGAGACTTGGAGCGAGGAGAAACATGGGCAAGCTGGTCTTGGTGATTCTGGCCCATAATCTCAGCACTCAGGAGGCCGAGGCAGGAGCTTTACTGCAAATATGAGGCAGTAGTGAGTTCCAGGCTGGTCTCAGTGTGAAATCCTTCTCGAAACAACAATATTAAAAAATAAAACAAAGGAGGCTGAGTTAGAAGTATTGCCACAAGTCCTAGACAGCCCGGGCTGCAAAGTGAGGTCTTGTCTAAAGAGAAGAAAGAAAGGGGGCGGGGGAGAAAGAGAGAAAGGAAGGAAGGTAGATAAGAAGAAAGGAAGACAGTGCATCAGTTAGGCGCTGGATAAGCACCAGGTCTGGATACCTTGAAGGACAGTGGTATTATCCCCAGAGTGTCACCCGATACACATTTGCCCCAGGCCTGAGGGCACTGACCCTTCCCTCTCCTTTTCCAGGCTGGGAGGTGGCTGGTGACCACATTTACACAGCTGTTGGAGCCTCAGACAACGACTTCATGATTCTCACTCTAGTTGTGCCAGGATTTAGGTGAGGAATACAAAGTCGGGGAAGCCGGAGCCAGCCTGGCCTCCACCAAATCCCACGGACTTGAGAATGTGACATGGAGAGGGCTCCAGACTTGAGTTTTGTTTCACTTAGGTATCAGTCCAGAACAGAGCACACCATGGCCATGTTAACTGTATACTAGCATGTGATCTTAGTTAGTTTTTATTTATTTTTGTTTTGTATGTGTATGAGTGTTTGCCTGCATGTGTGTATATGCCCCATGAGAGGCCAGAAGAGGACACTGGATTCTCTAGAGCTAAAGTTACAGGCAACTGCAAGCCACCATGCAGATGCTCAGACTCAAACCCCGTCCTCTTCAAGAGCAGCCAGTGCCCCAAATCACTGAGCAGTTTCTGCAGAGAACCCTGCCCCCCAGGGTTAATTCTGAATGTCCGTTTGAGATTTGGAATCACCTAGGTGACATATCTCTAGGTATGTCGGGAAGGGCATTTCCAGAGAGGTCTAACTAAGGAGGAAGATCTATCTATGTGGGTCAAGGTCCTAGACTGACTAAAAAGGAGAAAGTGAATGGCGTGCCGGCATGGGTCTCGCTGCCTCCCAACTGTGGATGCACCAGCCACCACACGCTCCTGCTTCCATACTTGTCCTTTATCCCTGTGGACTTTGTCCCCTGAAACCATGAGGCAGGATAAGCCCTCCCCCGCTGAAGCTGCTCCTCCTTGAATGTTTTATCACAGCAGTGAGAAAAACAAATGCACTGCCCATGCTGTATTGGCCTACCCCTTTCTCTCACCGACTGGCTGCTGGAATCCTTTCTCCTCGCAACAGCGAAGAGAGTTTTAGAGACTTAAAAATAACATCACAGCAGGGCTGGAGAGATGGCTCAGAGGTTAAAAGCACTGGCTGCGCTTCCAGAGGTCCTGAGTTCAAATCTCAGCAACTACATGGTAGCTCACAACCATCTGCAGTGAGATCTGATGCCCTCTTCTGGTGTGCAGGCATCCATACAGATAGTATGTACTCTTACACATAAAATAAATAAATAAAAATTTAAAAAGATTTAAACGAAAAAAAAATAAGGCCACAGTACCATTTGCAGTTCATTTTTTATGCAATATTTATTAGATTCATTGGTGTATGAATGTTTTGCATACACACACACACACACACACACACACACACACACACACACACACACTTGTATATACCCATGGATTTGATCCCCTGGAACTGGGGCTATGTATGGTTGATTCCTTGGAACCGTGGCTATGCATGTTTGTGAGCCACCATATGGGTGCTGGGAATTGAACCTGGGCCCTCTGCAAAATCAACAAGTGCTCTAAACCACTGAGTCATCTCTCCAGCCCATATACCATTCATTTTTACTTGAGGCAAGAAGATTGAGTAGGACTGTTCCTACTGCATTTTTTAAAAATATGTTCACACCCTGTATACTGTTGGATAGTGATACTATAATGAAAGATAAAGATAATTATCACTTGCATTTATTAGCCAAAGGAGCTACATGTTGGCCAAGTCAAGGTCATAAGGCTTGGGTGGCATAATTGGACTTGGTTCCCACTGTTTCCAACAAACTCCCAGACCCTCAACCTGACCCTTTCTGCTGTCTAGACTCTTTAAATAGCACTGCTTGGCCTCTGCGATGACTTTTACTTTCTGTCCCACAGACCTCCACAGTCAGTGATGGCAGACACAGAGAACAAAGAGGTGGCCAGAATCACATTTGTCTTCGAGACCATCTGTTCTGTGAACTGTGAGCTCTACTTCATGGTGGTATGTTTCTTCTCTGAGCCAACTGGGGGCTTCCAGGGAAAAGTTGGCCCAGCTTGCCCTAGCAGTAAGGCAATGTAAAGGACAACCATTATGGGGATCCCACAGGGCAAGAGCCCAGAGTGACCACCAGGGACTCCATATCACTCAGGACAGGTCTGGCGGGTATGACGACAGTCCACAGGATAGTGCTGGCTTCATTAGCCATCACGCCTTCCTCACCTGTCTATCCTGGGCTCAGGGCATGAATTCTAGGACCAATACTCCCGTGGAGACGTGGAAAGGCACCAAAGGCAAACAGTCCTACACCTACACCATCGAGGAGAACGCTACCGTGAGCTTCACGTGGGCCTTCCAGAGGACCACTCTTCATGAAACCGTGAGTCCCTCTCCATCCCAGGTGCAGACTGTGAGACAGGAGGAATCCTGGCAAGAGCTCATGCATGCTTCTGAGTGCATAATTTTCAGGAGCCAAGCAGAATGCTTAGTGTAGCCTTCTCTAAATGATTTCCAGGGAAGATCACATTGCGTCCCTTCAATCATCTGTCCCTCCTTGAGTCTCCACCGTGGGTGAAGCCAGATCTGTGGCTATTTTTAAGAACCATCACTCTGACTTTCCTTCATTTTTGAGACAGGGTCTTGGTATGTAACCCAGGCTGACCTGGAACTTGCAACCCTCAGCCTTATCCTTCCCAGAGCTCAATTACAAACCCAGCTTTATTTTCTTAACTCAAAATAAAACACATTTATTGCAGAAAACACAATTGATCTGGGCTATAAGGTGGACCCTGTCAAAAAACAAAAACAGAAAAAAACAAAAAGAAAAAGAACAAACAAAATCACCCATTACCCTGTTACCCAGAGATAGTCCAGTTACTGTCTTGGAGCGTGTGCGTTCTCTGTCTCTCCCCATCCCTCATGCATAGGTGTGCTCTTGCTCTCGATCTGACCCCCCACTCTCTGTTGCTTTTAGAGACGGGTCTTACAGTGTAGCCTAGACTGGTTGGTTGCCTTCCTCCTTGAGATCCTCCCGCCTCTACCTCCTGAGGGTTGGGATTATAGGGTTGTGCTACCACACCCAGCCCTAGTCTTTCTTTCTCTTAAAATACGTGGATTTTTTTTTCCCTTTTACAAAGAAAATCCCACCTCTGCCTCACCCTGCCCCCATATATTAGAATCGTCTATAAATTCCCCTGGTGCATGGCATTTTCCCCTGGAACTTGAAGTGGGTTAGTTTTGTTGTTAATGACACATTAAAAGCCATTGTCTTTTAAAAGTTAAACCCACAGTTTATTCTTAATATTATTAATTTTAATTAACATACAAAGGATCACCACTAAATAAAGTGAGAAAGATGCTGCCCGGGTTCTTCCTAGGCATCACGGGGTAAGCTGGGGCTGGGCATGTGGCTCAGTCAGGAAAAGCTCTTTCCATAGGAGCCTGAGGGTCCGTGTTGGATCTCTAGCACCCATGTAAAAACAAGGACACGAGACAGCTCAGTGAGAGACCCTGTCTCAAAAAAATGAGGTGGGGAGTGATGAAAGAACGTCTGGTGTCTTTCTGGCTTCCACATGCATGCTCACATATGTGCATGCACATCCACATGCACCCATATACACCTACACACAAGTAAATAAAGTCTAAATAAAAACAAGTTCCTGATATTTCTGCGGTTGTTGCTGTCTCAGGCCTCTCCTTTCTCTGCTTTTGCTTCCTCGTCTCCAGGGCAGAAAGTACACTAATGATGTTGCCAAGATCTACTCCATCAACGTCACCAACGTCATGGGCGGTGTGGCCTCCTACTGCCGTCCCTGTGCCCTAGAAGCCTCTGATTTGGGCTCCTCCTGCACCTCTTGTCCTGCTGGCCATTACATTGACCGAGATTCTGGAACTTGCCACCTCTGCCCGCCTAACACCATCCTGAAAGCTCACCAGCCTTATGGTGCACAGGCCTGTGTGCCCTGTGGCCCAGGGACCAAGAACAACAAGGTGCCAGCAGTCTGCCACACATGGTGACCTTTGCCCTCTGCTTGGGTGGGTGCTGGGTTCTGGATGGGATTCTCAAGGGGCTGATACCCACATGCTCCCCCTAGCAACACCCACCCCATCCCATGCTCAGGTTGTTGTGAAGGACACCAACCAGGTGTGACTGTGGGTGGTGAGTTCTTAGCAGGAGGTCTTTTCTTCCCTCTGAGTAGCCAAGTTTCATCTTCATCGGGTAGAGATCAGTGACCTTGGGGTCCAGAGGGTTATTTGGCATCTGCTCATAGACCTGAAGGGAAGAAATCGTGGGGTCTGTGGCTCAAATTCAGCCTAGTCCAATCCAGCCTGTAATCACAGGAATCTGCCCCCTCTCTTTTGGGAATGTGAGTCAATCTTTGCCAGGACATACATATTGGCATGGCTGACCTCCATCAGGGGCTTCTCAGACAAACGGACAGAAAGATCTAGTGTGGAAAAAACAGTGCTACTGCCCTGTGAAGTTTCACATCCAAGAAGACACACGTATGATCCAGGCACGGTGGCACATATCTGTAATCCCAGCACTTGGGGGGTAGAAGAAAGAGTCAGGAGCTCAGGGTTATTCTTATCTACACAGCAAGTTGGAGGCCAGCATAGAACTCATGAGACCCTAGCTCATTAACCAAAACCTAAAACAAGACAAAAGCCCAAACAAAGCATATATGAATAAAGGGTCTTAGATACTCATTAACACTTACAATCAATTTGTATTTTACTGATCATGCCAGATAGACACCTATGAGACTTTATTCACTTATTTAAATTTATTTATGTATTTATGAGACCAGGTCCCATGTAGTCCAGATTGACTTTAAACATTATGTAGTCCTGAGGGTGACCTCAGATTCCAGAGCCTCCTGCTCCGTTTATCTGCAAAGTATGTACAATTATTATACAGAACCCTGACAATCTTTTAGGGGTACCTGGGACATTCTCCATAGTCTTCTTCCCCCTGGAGCTCCCTCTGCTGTTGTGGGAAGGAATGGCAATGTGTTAGGCTGCCTCTAACGCTTCCCTAACACACAAGTAACAGGAAGAAAAGCCCCTTCCACAGCTCAGTTTCCTACAGAGAACCCCACAAAGAGGAGGCAGTGTATTTTAAATGGTTATGTGTGTCCTGCACACGAGGGACGAATGGAAGTCTCTTGCTTGCCACTCTGGAACCCTTATTTCAGTCTTCTGCTTGAAAGAAAGGCTTGGCCAAAGAGCTCTTGCCCAGCCTGCACACGGCTCTAGGTCTGATTCCTAGCAGTATTCAAAACAAAACCAGACAGAGATTCTCCAGTGAATGCTGGCATCTGGGAACCTCAGAGTTCTGCACTGGAATATATGTGCCACAGTAAATCAAAGACTTTGAGACCAGGGGACATTTAATGGACATGAATGAAAATTGTGTCGGACGTATTAGAACTGGGATCCTTGGTCACGATAACTAATACAAGAGTGGCATCAGTCCAAGGTTGAGTGGACAGTTGCCAGGCAGGTGTCCTTGTAAAAATCCTTTGTGTATATATAGGGATGTCCTTGTAAGAGTCTGCACACTGGTGGTGACTCTGTCAGCATCTTTCACGTAGCCGCCATGGGTGACTGTATACAAACCCTCCTTGAGACATGTTTCTCCTCTATGTGTCCACAATTGAATGGCAAGGTAGAGCCTATCAGTGTCTGTTTCACTTCTTTCAATGTCCACCTTGGCCCTTTCGTCCTCCTCTTCCATTCCATTCAGTCCGGAGCAGGTTGGAGACAGGTCTGTTACTCCACTGCAGCCCCGAAGGCCCGAGACTGCCTGCTAACCTGACCCTTCTCCCCTCAGATCCACTCTCTCTGCTACAGTGACTGCACCTTCTCCAGAAACACTCCCACCAGGCTTTTCAACTACAACTTCTCAGCGTTGGCAGGCACTGTCTCGCTGGCAGGAGCGCCCAGCTTCACTTCCAAAGGGCTGAAGTATTTCCATCATTTCACCCTGAGTCTCTGTGGAAACCAGGTAAGCTGGGCAAGCTAACAGTGTGAGACCTGAGAAGCGGGCTAGAGGCCAGAGATGGGCGCAGGAGGAACAGCACAGAATCCCTGAGGCCGCATGGGAAACAAGAGAATTAAAGAGGTTTAAATAACGAACTCCCACTGCGGATTGTTTTTTCCTCTTAAAATTAAGATCAGCGATAGGTGTCGCTTGCTTTAGAAGTCTGAAAGGGTCAAAGTGAAGCCTCTGGAGTAGCGAATGGTGGTAACTTGGGACATGAGAGGACAAAAGCCAACTCCACGCAGCCAGTCTGGTGCAGGGAAGGAGTTAGGAGGGGTGATGTGGGGAATCTGGGATGGTGGGACCTTTTACTCCTGCTTCAGCCTCCCAAGGGCAAGGTGTACATCTCCATGCCTACCCATGTAAAGTCATTAAAGACTAGAGGAGCCAGGCGTGGTGGTACACAGGCAGTCCCGGCCCTCAGAAGGTTGAGGCACGAGGATCTGGAATTCAAGGCCAGGCTATGCAGTGCACGGTCTCAAAAAACAAACCAACAAACAAACAAAAACAAACCTGGAGGAGACTCACTTTCCTTCTCTCAATACACGTTTTGTTTGGTTTTATTTCTCTCTTTCCAAAACAGAAGGGAGAGGTTGAGAATACATCTGAGCAGCTGAAGGGTTTAGCAAGCATAAGGCCCAGGGGCCACGCTCCCAGAACTTTGCTTCCTCCAAAAGTTTATCAGTTAGGACACAGACTTAACCATTTTGAGGCCTTTTAGCAGCTAGCAATCCCACCTTTTGGGGAGCCTGAGACAGGGTGATCATTAGTTCTAGGTCCTGCTGGGCTATTTAACAAAAGTTCATTTAAAAAAAAAAAAAAAAAGTCGTGCCGGGCGGTGGTGGTGCACGCCTTTAATCCCAGCACTCGGGAGGCAGAGCCAGGAGGATCTCTGTGAGTTCAAGGCCAGCCTGGTCTACAGAGTGAGTTCCAGGACAGGCACCAAAACAACAGAGAAACCCTGTCTCAAAAAAACCAAGAAAAAAAAAGTTGGGGGATTAGTTGTCCTGCCTCAGGTCCTGGGGCCTGTTTGAACCCCTGGGAGTATCTGTCTAGACAGTGCTTCCAAGACAAACAGCTGAACCACAGCCCCGAGGGAGACAAGAAGGGTACTTAAGCCATCCCAGATGGTCCAGTCAATGTCACTGGCCTCGGGGATCGGTTGCATAGCTCAGCTTCTGTGTAAAGGATGGACCCAGATACAGAAGGACCCTTGGCCAGTTGGCTAGAACTCCAAAGCAGCTGCCACCACCACAGTCTAGGTGACCCCACGGAGCAAAAGGCTGGAGACTTCTGGACCGAGCCCTTCTCTTTACCTCCCCCCCCACCTCACCCCCACTCCCCTCACCCCACCCCACCTTCAGTCTTGTTAGAGCTGTTCTGTTGCAACATGTGATGGGAAAGCTTAACTTTTTAGAAAAAAAGAAAAAGGAACAAAGTCCCTTTGGGGACTCATCTGTGACCATTTGCTTTCCCCCACATTTCCCTACTAGGGGAAAAAAATGTCCGTGTGCACAGACAACGTCACTGACCTCCGGATCCCTGAGGGTGAGGCCGGCTTCTCCAAGTCCATCACAGCCTACGTCTGCCAGGTGGTCATCATCCCCTCCGAGGTGACGGGCTACAAGGCTGGGGTGTCCTCACAGCCAGTCAGCCTCGCTGACCGGCTTATTGGTGAGTCAGCCCCAGGCTTGCTTGACTGTGTGTGTGATGTGTGCGCGCGTGTCTGTCTGTATGTGTGTATTTGTGTTTGTATGTGTGTGTGTGTTTGTGTGTGTATGTCTCTCTCTCTCTGAGTCTGTGTTTGTGTGTGTGTGTGTCTCTTACTAGTGTGTATATGTCTCTGTCTCTGAGTCTGTGTTTGTGTGTGTGTCCATGTGTCTGTGTCTCTGTGTGTATCTCTGTGTTGTGTGTCTTTCTCTATGTGTGTCTGTGTTTGTATATGTGTATGTCTGTGTGTGTCTCTCTCTCTGTGTCTGTGTGTGTATATGTGTGTCTCTTTCTCTCTATGTGTCTGTGTTTGTGTATATATGTGGGTGTGTGGGTGTGTCTGCGTATGGGTGTATTTGTTTATATGTGTCTCTGTGTGTGTGTGTGTCTCTCTCTTTCTGTGTGTCTCTGTGTGTATATGTGTGTCTCTTTCTCTCTGTGTGTCTGTGTTTGTGTGTATATATATGTGTGTGTGTGTGTATGTGAGTGTGCTTGTGTGTGTCTCTCTGTGTATCGGTGTGTTTGTTTGTATGTGTCTCTGTGTGTTTGTGTGTGTCTCTTTCTCTATGTATGTGTTAGAGAATATGAGGCTGACAGGCTGGAAGGTACATGGTCCTCTGTTTTCTTTCCTTTTTCTTTCCTTTTTTTTGGGGGGGGGGGGTTGAGACAGGGTTTCCCTGTATAGTTTTGGTGCCTTTCTTGGCTCTCGCTCTGTAGACCAGGCTGGCCTGGAAATCACAGAAATCCACCTGGTTCTGCCTCCCGGGTGCTGCGATTAAAGACATGCGCCACTACTGCCCGGCGGTCCTCTATTTTCAATTCCATTCCAGGTGCCCCTGGCATCTCTGATCAGCCTCGGGTTCACGTTTGTATGAGCTACTAGTGGTATGATGAAATGAAGGTTGGTGGTTGACAGGTCTGGAAAGCACTGAAGCCTTTGCCAGCTGATGCTATGAGAGAGAGCTAATTGGGAGCTCTGATTTGACAGGGGTGTCGACAGACATGACTTTGGATGGAATCATCTCCCCGGCTGAACTTTTCCACCCAGAGACCTCAGGGATCCCGGATGTAGTCTTCTTTTTCAGGTGAGGATGAGAGACCAGGCAAGTGAAACCTCAGACTCTCCCACAAATCCGCACCCCTTCCTCTCTATCCACCTCCTACTTGTCAAGCCTGGGCATGTCCGAGGTCTAGGGCTACCCAGTCATCAGAGTAAAAGCTGGCTGTAACTAGACCTGGGCCTTTTGCATATTATTGGGGTCATTACGCACTGAGGCAGGAAATATGGAAGATGTGCCATGGACATCCCTTCCCTGAAGGAGGGCCCAGTGTGTGCTAGCCTTTTCTTTCTTAGGCCAATGCATTGCCCCCTTGACTAGATCTCCCTGGTCCCCCACTCTCTCACATAAAGACCAAAGTTTGGCCCTCCCTGTTCCCGCTTGCCCAGTGAAGGAATCACCCCATGTTGACGCCATATAACAGCTCCCCAATAACAGTGGAGAAGTTCCTTCCCTCTGGTGTTGGCTTTCACTGCAGATCCAATGATGTGACTCAGTCCTGCAGTTCTGGAAGATCAACCACCATCCGCCTCAGATGCAACCCAATGAAAGCTGCTCCTGGCACTCTGCAGCTACCCAGGTAAGCTGGTGGAGGGAAGCTACACGAGCCACAGCCTCTTCTTCCTCGGACTCAGTCCATCCCAAGACCCAGCGATTATTTAAAAAAAGATAAAAATCATTTTAGAGCTATTCATGGGCTCTTGGGGACACAGTCATGGCTCCTAGATCTTAACTCAAAATAAAAAATAAGCCAGGTGTTGTGGTGCAGCACTTGGGAGGCAGAGGCAGGTGGATCTCTTGAGTTGGAGGCCAGCCTGGTCTACATATCAAGTTTCAGACCACTAGGGTGACACAGTGGGACCTTGTCTCAAAGTGCGCTGGGCAGGATATTTTGATCTATTGATGGTATGGAAGTGGAAAGAATTTTCCTTACCATTGTAAATATCATACACACAGCAAAGCAACAGAGCTTATCCAGAAACCAAGCATGGGAGTGCATGCCTATAATCCCAGTACTTGGGAGGTAGAGACAGAAGGACCAAGACATTTTTGCATATTACTGGGGCCATTATGCATGGGGGCAGGGAGAAATATGGAGGGTCTGCCACAGCCTGCCCTTCACTGAAGGAGGTCCCAGTGTGTACTAGCTTTTTTTTTTTTTTTTTGGCTAGGCCAGTGCATTGCCCCCTTGAATAGATCTCCCTTGTCCTCACTTTTTCCACCTAAAGCCCAAAGTCTGTGCCCCAACAGGTTGCTTTCAGCCACATAGTGAATTCAAGGCCAACCCGGAGTACATGAGATGTTATCTAATAAAACAGAACACTCCCCACCACCACAGATCCCACCACCACAGATACACAGACATATACACAGAAAACCAGGGGCTGAGGAAATAGTCCAGTAGGGAAGGTACTCAGTGCATAGGCACGAAGACCTAAGTTTGCTCCCTAGCAACTCAGATCCGAGGTAGAACGCTAAGCACGGTGGCACACTTGCAGTCGCGGTGGTGGAGAGCAGGAGACAGGTGGCTCTCTGGAGATCACTGGCCAACCAACCTCACCTAATCAGCCTGCCCCAAGTTCCGGTGAAAGACCCTATCCCCCAAAAGCAAAGTGGTCAGGGCCTGGAGAGATGGCTCAGAGGTTAAGAGCACTGCCTGCTCTTCCAGAGGTCTTGAGTTCAAGTGTCAGCAACCACATGGTGGCTCACAACCATCTCTAGTGGGATCTGATGTCCTCTTTGGCATAAAGTTGTACATGCAGATAAAGCACTCATATACATAAATAAATAATAAAAATCTTAAAAAAAATATATTAAAAAAAAAGTGGTCATCTCCTGAGGAACAACACCAAAGGTTGACCTTGACCTTCACAAGCACATGCATGCACATGCACAGCATATATCTATGCCTGAACTCCATCTCAACTACAATCCCTCAACCAGGTAACTGTATAAAAGTGGCCACTGTAAAATGTGACATGTCCCTGGGGAGGACAGGAGTCTTTTAGGGGTTGGAACTGTAGCTATTCGAGGACTCAGACATATTAAATTGAGCTCTCATTTGGCGTCAGCAAAAACAGGTGGGGAAATTGGAGACCAAACTCTCAAGCTGGCCATGGTGGCTCATCCATACATTTCCAGCACATGGGAGGCCAAAACATGGCATTGCAGCGTGTTTAAGGCCTGTCTGAGCTACAGAGGGAGACCCTGTCTCAGAAAGACGGAAAGGAAGGAAGGAAGGAAGGAAGGAAGGAAGGAAGGGAGGGAGGGAGGGAGGGAGGGAGGGAGGGAGGGAAGGGAACACCTGAGTTAAGGGCAGATTGAGGGAAGTATTTTAGAGAGAGAGGAGATGAGTTAATCAAGAAGTGAAACAGGCATTCTACCAGATCTTCCCCTGTAAGGGGCGCTTTTCCTGTCCCGATCACCCAGTCCCAGATAACCAATTCAGAGGCTAAATATGAACTATAAATGCTCAGCTGATAGCTCAGGTGTGTTACTAGCTAACTCTTACATTCAAATTAACCCGTTTCTATTAATCTAAGTATTGCCACATGGCTCGTGGCTTTACCCATCCTCTAGCATGTCTTGATTCCTGGGTGGCTGGCTGGCATCTCTTGACTCTGTCCTCTTTCATCCCATCATTCTCATTTTGGTTTTCTTGCCTAACTTCCTGCTCAGCTACTGGCCTGTCAGCTTTTTATTAACCAATGAGAGTAATACATATTCAGAGTGTAGAAAAGGATTGCTTCACAGCATTTCCTCCTTTGTCTAATTAAAAAGGAAGGTTTTAACCTTAATATAGTAAAAATATATACAACAAAAACATTTATTAAGTAGGAATTACAGTAACAATATCTAATCCATTTGCATTTGACAAAATTTAGAGAAAATATTTAATTATCTATCTTATCTTGGTGAATCTAAAGTTTTGTATCTAATTTACTTTCTATTATAACTAAGGAAAACTATAATTATAATGATTTAGTCTTCAACTCCATCAAAGACCCCAGAAGGGTAAAATGTTACCTAATGACAGGGACATCAGGCTGCCTGGAAAGTCACCCAAAGTTCCTCTGTAACACTGGGGCACCCAGCTCTGGCCTACAGGCCTGGCAAATCTGGCAGACTTTCCTGTGAAGCAGGGAATTCTGAAGGACTGTCTTACCTTGTCTTGGCAAAGTTCAGCAGTCACCTTTCTTGCATCCTGCTGGTCCAGTTTGTATAGTAACTGTCAGCAATTGAGGCAAGGGCAGTTTCTTTGCCCACATGGCCATAAAGAAAGCAAACTCCATATGGAGTTTTTTTCACTGCCCAACATCTTCTCTGAAGTAGATTGATGCTGCCAGGAGGAGACGTGTCTCATTATCATAAAAAAACCTTATGTTATTAAAACATCTTAAATGCCATATTTTGTAGATCTTTGAAGTGTTTGAAGACCATCTATCTAAATATATCTGTTTATTACCTTGAAAACATACCAAACAGGACTATAAGTTTGACTATTATAGATGACTATTAATCTGTATTTTTTAATTATACATTACATTTTTAATTGAGCTGCATAAACACAATACCCAAAACAAGAGTAGAAATATACATACAGCATAACAGAAATAACTTTAAATTTGTATCAATAAATTAAAATCCATATCAATGTAAAATATTTTGAGATTAACAGTTGTCTTTTGGAGTAAAGTAGATTCAATAATCTACCCTTTCCCCCATCATTTCTTTTTTTTTTTTTTTTTTGGTTTTTCGAGACAGGGTTTCTCTGTGTAGTTTTGCGCCTTTCCTGAACTCACTTGGTAGTCCAGGCTGGCCTCGAACTCACAGAGATCCGCCTGGCTCTGCCTCCCGAGTGCTGGGATTAAAGGCGTGCGCCACCACCGCCCGGCCCCCATCATTTCTATATCATATCCCCCTTTCCTCTTTTAGAAAGAGATTGACTATGACAAATAACAATTTGTAACCAAACCCCCTTAAATGAAAACAAACATTTATAACCAATATTTTGGGAATGTGGGCATAGTTCTCTAGACTACTTACTGCTGACTAGGGGCACTGGTAATCTTTGAGACACCCTGAGAAAATCAGGATAATTGTTAAGTCTTGGCTGGAGTATTTTGTGAGGCTGGATCATCATAGTCAGCGGCCTTGAAGCTGTTTTGGATGTTGGATCATCTGGGCCATTATTATGGGTGTCTGGTCCCCTTGTTCTGAGAATACATAAACTTTTAAAGGTAACATACATATCTGTATTAATACAAATATAAACTGTATATTTTACACAAGCCATCCAAAGATAATTTTTTGTTTTATCAGGTAAAATGTACATCACATGTCTTGTAATTACTTTAGGTTTATTTTTCCATGTCTCTAGTCAGGATTTTAGGGGGTTTTCCTCAATCAAATCTGATTTTCCTTAACCTGGAATGAATCCATAGCCTCTCATTTCCTGCAGAAACAAAAACACAACCTCTCCCCCAAAGTGACATACCTTTTGACTTAAATTTTGGAGTCAAGGTATTTTTAAAATATGTAGGTTGGTTTAATTTAGTAGCTTTCACAATCAAATGTCTCTCCGCAGCTATTATTTACCCATTAACAGTCACAAAATCTAAAGGGAACACAATAAAATATAGAATCCAGACTCTCTGTGTATTTCCCATCTTTATGTGGCTTATTTTTTTATTGCTCTATTCCCTTTTCAATGACTTTGCTATTATTTTTAAATTTTTTTGAATCTATGACTGTTTCTTTCCTTTTCCTTCTCTCTCTCAAGCCTACGCACATTTTTCAAACACACTGTGACCCATTTAGAGGCCTTTTTACATGAATCTGTCCTTACTGTGTATCTTTAACACTTTTTGTCTTTATGAGCAAAAATCCTAAATCCACCACATAGCACATGGGTGGGAGACGTCTCTCTGTACCTTGGCCTGTGTGAGTCTTTGGGAATCTGCCATGCTGCAGTTCAAGACCACATGCCACGGCCAGGGGATGTGTCTCTGTACCACAGTCTGCATGAGAAACATGAACTAGGAAGCTAGTTCTTGGCTCTGTTTTTATGTTTATAGGACCCTCTACCCCCCTTTTTTAAGCTTTCTCAGACTTTATATGAATGTACACCCATGTTGGGCTACCATATGCAAATGGAGGTGGGTTTTTTCTGTCCCAACTGCCAGGTCCCAAATAACCAATTCAAAGGCTGAACATGAATTATAAATGTTCGACTGATAGATCAGGCTTGTTACTAGCTAACCTCTTACATTCAAATTAACCCATTTCTATTCATCTATGTATTGCCATGTGGCTCGTGGCTTTACCTGTCCTCTAGCATGTCTTGCTTCCTGGGTGGCTGGCTGGTGTCTCTTGACTCTGCCCTCTATTGGTGAAATTATTAAGGCCACTCCATGTAGTTAAAAGGAGATTTATTTAATGGCATAACTTACAAATTAAGGGATAGGTAGGTCGCAGGGCCTGGGGAAGGTGTATCGCAGTCCAGCGGTGTTCTCTGGAGCTCTGCTTGGCCCACCTCCACCGTCCAGGGTCCCGGAACAGAGAGAGAGCGCTGGTCTCCAGGCGCCTCCCTTGGCCCCGCCTTGTAGGCGTGACAGTTGCTGAAGTCTCAATGGGGGTTGGAACTTCCAGATCAAAGCTGGAATGGCTACCCACTACAGCCCTCCTTCTTCTCATCATTATCTGTTTGGCTTTCCCACCTAACTTCCTGCCCAGCTACCAGCCTGTCAGCTTTTTATTAACCAATGAGAGTAATACATATTCAGAGTATAGGAAAGAATTGTTCCACAGCATTCCCACCAATCCATCACTTGACAACTCCGTCTCTTTCCTACTTTGCTAGCATGTGCTCTGATGGGACCTGCGATGGCTGTAATTTCCATTTCCTGTGGGAGAATGTGGCTGCCTGTCCACTCTGCTCAGCCTCTGACTACCACACTTTTGTCAGCAGCTGTGTGGCTGGGATCCAGGTAGGTTGCCCTCTGCTTGGGAATGTCCCAGGAAAGGAAAGATTATGAGTTCTGAGGTCCCTGTTTTTCTCCCCAACAGAAGACTACGTACATGTGGCGAGAACCAAAGATGTGCTCTGGGGGCATCTCCCTGCCTGAGCAGAGAGTCACCATCTGCAAAACGATAGATTTCTGGTTGAAAGTGGGCATCTCCGCTGGCACCTGCACTGCCATCCTGCTCACCGTCTTGACCTGCTACTTTTGGAAGAAGAATCAAAAGTACATGGTGGGGCGTTGGAATCTGTGGGAGGTCAGGGTTGGATCCTTGAGCAGGAAGAACATCTGAGGATATTACTGAGAATTTTCTTTGGAGTTGGTTATTGACGCTGAGATTGGCCAGAGACTTTTAAAGACACTCATCCATTGTAGGCCTTCAATCTTGAGCAGGGATGGCTGTCTAAAAATGGCTATAAGATTCTTTAAAGAAAAACCAAGTCAGGTGTGGTGGTGCAGGTCTTTAATGCCAGCACTCAGGAGGCAGAGACAGAGAGATCTCTGTGAGTTTGGGGCCAGCCTGGTCTACATGAGACCCTGTCTCCAAAAAAAGAAGGAAAGAAAAGAAAAGAGAATCTTTGGGCTGAGGTTGTAGATCAGTGAGAGTGCTTGTCTAATGTGCAAGAGACCTAGATTCAAAGGTCTCTTTGTTGTTTTCATTAACAATGCAAAGGCAAGGTATAGTGGTTCATGCCTGTAATCCCAACGCTTGGGAGTTAGAGGCAAGAGGACAGAGTTCAGGGTCATCCTCCAGCTACATATCCATTCCAGGCCAGCCTGGGCTATATGAAACCCTGTCTCATAAAAACTAAAAGCAAGCTGGGTGGCGGTGCCTTTAATCCCAGCACTTGGGAGGCAGAGCCAGGGAAATCTCTGTGAGTTCAAGGCCAGCACTCTACAGACAGTCACCAAAACTACACAGAGAAACCCTGTCTCAAAAATCAAAAAACAAAAAACAAAAACAAACAAACAAACAAGGCACAGTTTTATAAATATTTCTGTTTTGAGAAACAACCAGTCTTTTTTTTTTTTTTTTTTTTTTTTTTTTTTTGGTTTTTCGAGACAGGGTCTCTCTGTGTAGCTTTGCTCCTCTCCTGGAACTCACTTGGTAGCCCAGGCTGGCCTCGAACTCACAGAGATCCGCCTGGCTCTGCCTCCCGAGTGCTGGGATTAAAGGCGTGTGCCACCACCGCCCGGCGAGAAACAACCAGTCTTGAAGAAAAAAAAAATCATTAAACAGAGAGCCAAGATTCCTTCTGTTCACCTATCCTTCACACCCTTTGCAAGGCTTCCATTTCCTTACATAGGGTTATCTGTGTGCACCAAGCATCCCTTCATGGCAGGGGAGGGGGCTATCTGTGTGCACTAACCATCCCCTCATGGCAGGGGAGGGGGCTATCTGTGTGTACCAACCATTTCCCTCAGGACAGGGGAGGGGTTTCTGTGTGTATCAACCATCCCCTCATGACAGGGGAGGGGTTTCTGTGTGTATCAACCATCCCCTCATGACAGGGGAGGGGTTATCTGTGTGCACCAACCATTTCCCCTCAATGCCACACTCTCATATCTTGCCTCTTTCCTTCCCTCATTTCACAGACTGGAATACAAGTACTCCAAACTGGTGATGAATGCTACCCTCAAGGACTGTGACCTGCCAGCAGCGGACAGTTGTGCCATCATGGAAGGGGAGGATGTGGAAGATGACCTCATCTTTACCAGCAAGAAGTCACTCTTTGGGAAGATCAAATCCTTTACTGCCAAGGTAGAACTCCCAGCACTGTTCCAGCCTCTCCTAGAAACACCACCTTCTGCCTTCTGTATTTCACATCAGTACCCTCCCCCCTGGGGCCAAGGCCTCGTCCTGCTCACTCCTCCCTAGTAGATAGATTGTTAGGGCCTTTCAATTTCCAGGAGTATTGAACCATCCGTGTGTGATAGTTACACACACACACACACACACACACACACACACACACACACACACACACACACAGGGGGCAGTGGGGGTGGGGGGATGGGGGAGTTGTTTTTTGTTTTTGTTTTTTGTGTTTGTGTGTGTTTTAGTGAAGAGGAGTCCATCTCTAGGTTCAGTTTCCGATAGACCAGTGGAGGGTGCTATCCCCAAGGTGTGTGGGCCCCATCCTGAGAGGCTGAGTCATAGCCAAGCCTAAACTGCGCCTGGTATGTGCTTCTGAACTGGGCTGCCTGGCTCTGTGTGGGTGAGCTGGTGAGCGCGAAGCTCATAAATGCCTACAGACACCACTCTCTCTGGGCAGAGGGCCAGCAGAGGGCACCCAAACAATTCCTCCCAGGCTGAGCACACACCTGATTACTGCACAAGGGAGTCTTTCAAGCAGGTGTGGCTGGGGCGGTGCGAGAGGACAGGAGGGTGCAGGAAGCGTCTTGAAGAAGGGGTGGCAGTAGGTGTCCAGTGCCCGAGTCTGATCCTTTGTGCTGACTCGTCAGGGTGAAGCAGTGGCCAACTTTGGCTTTGATTTTTGTTTTTTTTTTCCTTCCCACCAGTGAGAGAATAGTTACTCTGGGGACCTCGCAGGTCTGTCTGGGACCTCGAGAACTAAGCAAAGATGCAAAGCAGGAATCATAATTTTCTTATTCTCTGAGTCTGTAAGACAGCAGGAAGAACAGAGGGCAACCCGTTCCTACGTTCCCACCAATCCACGGGATGCCGGAAGTCCCGAAGGGTTCCTTCGGTCACCTGTTTTCCATTTCTCTTCTTTGTCCCCTTAATCTGCCCCGTGCAGCCGCCAGCTCCTGTCGCCATCTCTCTTTCAGAGGACCCCTGATGGATTCGACTCGGTGCCGCTGAAGACGTCTTCAGGAGGCCCAGACATGGACCTGTGAGAGGCCCGGGTCCTGCCTCGCCCGCCTCTCATCTGGGCGCATCACCCCGCTGCTGGGAATCTCTTCATCGTGGCCTTATGGGAAGTTTGGATTTCAGACCCTTGTTTTTTATAGAGTACCCAAACCTTTCTCTCTGCTTGCCTCAGACCTACCAAATATACCCACACTTTGTGTTTCGTTTCCTTGCTTGTATCTTGTGTCCTAAAATAGTTCACACACACACACACACACACACACACACACACACACACACCCCGAGCCATACTCTCCTTTGCTCATAACTCTTATAGCTCTGAAGTGAAAATAGTTCCTTTTGAAGTATAGGACTGACTTCTGGCCTCCCGTTTGAGGGCAGGCACAGCTCAAAGTTTTCTTGGTCAGATAAAGGCTTTCGACTCACGATCTCTTTAGGAGAGAGGCTGGGTGAGGGAAGGCTGGAGACGGACAGTCTTCCCAGCAGCCTGGGTTCATTCCTTCTGGGTAGTGAGCTTGAACAGGGAGCAGTGGACAGTGTGGGGACAAGGTGAGTCGAAGCCCGTGTAAGAAAAGACTGGGAAAAAAACACAAAGGCAAGAAAGAAGGGATTTTGTTTGTTCTATTTTATAACCTGAAACCTCATTTCCTTCTCTTAAGTGATAAATATTCTCACTAAAGGCAAAGGAGATTATTTATTTATTTATCAAGAACTTGCCCAAAGCCCTAGTAGACCTATTCTCCACAGCTGATTTTTTTTTTTTTTAAATGTCCCTTCCATCTCCTTAGGACACTAGAAAGAACCAGGTAAGTCGAGCTTTATCTTCTATGGACTTCACTGGGAGATAGTAAACACTTGCCAGCGAGGAACCGCCCATCCGTGAGCACCTCAGTCCTAGGGCATCATGGGATGCAGCATCTTATTTGGAAAGAACACAGGAGGCCAGGGTTTTAATGGGTGGTACTAGGGACTCCAGCCCACGATGACATGGACCAGTTATGGTCATGATATCTGCTAGGTCACAGAGGTACTAACTTGTAGACTGCCCAGGAAGGGACTGCATGCAAGGCAGATACTGACCAGTCTTCAGGGAGGAAAACCAGGGATGTTTTAAAGGTCTGCACCCAACTGAGGGACTCGTCACCCCGGCCTCTGTCCTATCCTCGTTTCCACTGTGCACTAAAACTCTAAAAGACTCCGGGCCTCCATTTCTGGTGACACCCCTTTGAAAGGTGAGTAGACTAGGTGCCGTCTCACAGACAGAGTGGGTTTCTTCTGCCCATCTCCTCATTTTACTCAGCTATAATTGATGAAGTATCTAGAATAGAAAAAAAACAGAAAATTTTCCACTTGACTTTTTCTTCCTGCTCCTGGGAATTCTACCTCTTTCATCCCATGCCAGAATGGCCATCCCTTGGTTGAGCTCCAGTTCCTCATGGTCTACACCTGTGCCCTTTCCCCAGTGACAGGTGATTGGCATAAAACAGAGAGGCATTTCTGAGTGGTTTGTCAGCCAAAAAAAGCGGCTTGCTCATCTGCTACTCATGGCTGCCCTGGTGATGGTTTCTAAGAATCAGAAAGAAATGAAGCTATGCCATGACTTCTGACCATCAGAGGCATCCACAGTGACTAAACATAAAAACTTTTCTTTGGGTATCCAACCTGTCCCTGATTGTGTGATTCTCAGGCCTTGACCATGCTGGAATTGTCTTGAGTGGATATGTACACATAGGCCATGAACTCATGGCTAGTCTCCTGCAGCCTCTTGGGTTTCTGTGGTGAAGACCACAGGAGATAACTTAGACTATTCTGTAAGAAGTAGAAAAAAAGTTCATCTCTTTGGACTTCTTATTAGGATCTCTTAGAATTGAGTACCCCAACCCCAAGCATCCTCAGACTGCACTGATTGTATGATAGCATTTTTAGGATCTCTCCTCTACTCCTTACTGGGGTGCTTCCTAAAGGAAGAGGGTCACCTGTCACTTCTCTAGCAGTTCAGCAACTTCAGATAATTTCAGTAGCTCTACTAATATATAATTTACAGACTGCATAAGTCACCCTTTCAAAACATACAATTCAGTGACTTAGTTTTCTGTGCTGAAGATGAACCCCAGGGCTTCTCACATGCTAGGCAAAGAGCTCTACCACCGAGCTACATCACTGGCCATGAACATACAGTTTAGGACAGACACATTAGCCCTTGAGCCAGGCCTGTGGTAGCTTGCATAAGTTTTAGGGGCAGAGCATTGGCTCAGAAGATAGTGTGTAAACTCCATATGGATATCTAGAATCCTAAATGATAATTTCATCCTGCAGTCATCCCTGTATTTGGCTGGGAATACAAATGAAGATTGTGGTATATCTAAGGACCAGGGGATTTCTTATGCCATCAAAACTTTTTTTTTTGTCTAACTCTATATTAAAGCTAAAATTGACTATATTTATATAACAGAAGCTTTGTAAAAGATTTTTCAGCTTTGTGAAATCATATTGGTGTCTCATCAGGATGGGTTGGATTTCCTTTTTATTCTGTATCCCATGCATTTATAGTTTGTTAGGGATGGGTGTTGCATGTCATTTTTTTAAAAATAAAAACATACCTTTTGAACTGTCTTTCTTGAATTATGGGGATGGGTGGCTGGATAGGTGAGTGGGAAATGGTGTCTTTGAAGCTCAATCAGAAAAGATGAACAGAGAAAGGAGCACAGACTTCGGAACAACATGCGAGATGGAGGCTAGAACGTTCTTGGCACCTGTTGAGGAGTTAATACCGAACACCTCAGTTTCTATAATAATGAAATGATACCAAGACTGGGTGAGGGACAAAAGATCTCACAAGTCAAAGATAGTTTGTTAGGTTCCTTCCCCAGTCAGGCTTCAGCCACGCCACATTTCCACAAACACAAACAAACTTAGCTTCTCCTAGTAGGAAGTGGATTATTACAGACTAGAGGTGGAGAAAGTCGTAGAGATACTACCTACAGACCTACCATTCCCCAGGGGGGCTGGGTTCTTCTGATCCGGTACTTTCTTGCCCTCTAGTTACATACACTTAGCACCCCAGGAGAACTGTACCCACCACATGAGCTTAGGCTGCCACAGGCTTTTGAATCTGAATATTACAAGGCATGAATTTTCTACATCAATCTTTGGGGGGACTCTTTAGATCTAACAAGTTTTTCCTCCTCCTCCAGCCCTTCCCACTCCTCTGTCTCTAGAACCTTCTCTCTTTTTTCCTAGTTTTTTCAAGAGAAGGTTTCTCTGTGTAGCCCTGGCTGTCCTGGAACTCACTCTGTAGACCAGGCTGGCCTGGAGATCTGCCTACCTCTGCCTCCCGGCTTTGGGACAAAAGGCATGTGGCACCACGGCCTGTCATTAGAGTCTTTTGTATCCTCTTGCTCCTCTTTATCTCCTCTTTTTGTTTTGGCTTTGGTTTTGAGCCACTGTAGCCTAGGCTGGCTAGAACTGATTATGTAGCCCAGGTTGGCCTCAAACTCATGGCAGTCTCGCATGCCTGTCTGTGTGTTTTGGTTTTGTGGGCATGTATAGATCTGTCATGTTGTTGTTGTGTGTGTTTTTAAATTTTTTTTTTTTTTTTTGGTTTTTCGAGACAGGGTTTCTCTGTAGTTTTGCGCCTTTCCTGGAACTTGCTCTGTAGACCAGGCTGGCCTCGAACTCACAGAGATCCGCCTGCCTCTGCCTCCCTGGGATTAAAGGCGTGCGCCACCACCGCCTGGCTGTGTTTTTAAATTCTTACTCATTTAATTTTGCTGTGTGTGTGTGTTTAGTCTGTATGCACAAACTTGTGGGTCACATGTATGCCTGAAACCTAAGGTGGACAGAAAGAGTTGTCAGATTCCTGGGGCCGGAGTTTCAGAGGGTTGTTAGCTAATATGTGCCTGCTGGGAACTGAGTCCAGGTCCTCTGGAAGAGCAGCCAGTGCTCTTAACTGAAAAGCCATCTCTCCAGCCCCACTGTTGTTGTGGTGACTTTTTTTGTTTTGGTTTGGTTTGGTTACAAAACAAAAAGTACATTTATTCAGCAACAATGATGCATTGTAGAATTATACAGTGAAAAAAACAAGTTCCTCAGCGTCCTCAAATTTCTTGTAGGTTACTCTTTGAGATTTAGAAACACTAAATTAATATTTCTTTTTTTTTTTTTTTTTTTTTTTTTTTTTTTTTTTTTTTTTAGGTTTTTCGAGACAGGGTTTCTCTGTGTAGCTTTGCGCCTTTCCTGGAACTCACTTGGTAGCCCAGGCTGGCCTCGAACTCACAAAGATCCGCCTGCCTCTGCCTCCCAAGTGCTGGGATTAAAGGCGTGCGCCACCACCGCCCGGCTAAACACTAAATTAATATTTCTTGGAATTCTCAGCAATTTCAAAATTATGATTATTTTAAACATTCTTCTAACATTCTATTCATACTTCACACTCTATTATTCAGATAACTAAAACTCCTGTTTAAAGCAGAAATGCTCAAAGGACAGCTTTGCCGCTGCTGTGAGATAGGATCTCATTTGTTCCAGCCTGGGCCAAGAACAACCTTAACTCCTGATCCTTCTACTTTCCATTTCTAGAGTGTGAGTTCGGTAGATTCCCTGACAGGCAGACAGGGAGAGGGGCCATGACTAGATAATAAGGATGCTGAACTTCAAGATGGCTGGCTTCTTCTTCACCCTCCTGACCTGAGACCCATGCCTGGCATCTTAAAAACAAAGGCCTGAGGGGCCTTTTATTCTGCCTGGAGGGCCTCCTGCCTGTGAACTGGTCAGACAAGTTCAAGGCCAGACCAGGATGTGTTTGTGGACCTGTTTCCCTACCTTTGTCCAAACTGACCAAGCCTAAACTGGGAGAGGACAACTCTCTCGAAGACCCTTAACCTCTCCCACCCGGAACCCTGCACCCCCGCAGCCCCCAATCCCCTCTGAGTCCCTCACCTCACTCCACCCACTCAAGGACAGACCAAGTTTTGGCTTCCCCCTGCTTTGCAGAGGGTCTTCTGTGTGTCTTGCTGGGTAGTCAAAGTCTTTCTTAACTTTTTTGTTTGTTTGTTAGTGTGTTTTCCAAGACAAGCTAGTCCTTGCTATCCTGGAACTCGCTCTGTAGACCAGGCTGGCCTTGGACTCAGAGATCTGCCTGCCTCTGCCTCCTGAGTGTGTGTGCCACCACCACCCAGCAAAAGTCTGTCTTTACCGTTTGATTCTGTTTGCTGTCTGAGACTTCTCTGCCTGTTGTGCTTGAGATTTTTCCTGCTTTCTAATTCTGTAACTGGCAGAGAAAAGACCCTTATACAGTAACAGTGGGGAGTGGGTACTCAATTGCCATGGTGCACCTATGGATGTCAGAGGACAATTTGCAGGAGTTGGTTCTCTTTTTCCACTTTATGGGTCCCTGGGATTGAACTCAGGTTCTCAGGCTTAGCCACTGGCCTTTACCTACTAGGCTGTCTTGCCAGGTTGCCTGTGTTTTGTTTGTTTGTTTGTTTGTTTGTTTTGTTTTTTGAGACCGGGTTTCTTCGTGTAATTTTGGAGCCTGTCCTGGATCTTGCTCTGTAGACCAGGCTGACCTCGAACTCACAGAGATCCGCCTGCCTCTGCCTCCCGAGTGCTGGGATTAAAGGTATACGCCACCGCCACCAGGCTCAGGTTGCCTGTTTTTTTGTTTTTTTGTTTTTTGTTTTTGTTTTGTTTTGTTTTTGAGACAAGGTCTCAGAATGCAGCCCCAGGTTAGTCTTGAACTCACTGTGCAGTCCAAGCTAGCCTCAAACAAGATTCTTCTACCCTTACTCCCTGAGTGCTGGAATTATAGGCACCCACCCCTGTGCTTGCCTTGGTGTCCTTTTTCTAACTCATGCGACCTTCAGATGAGCAAAAAGTCTCTGTGGCTTCCTTGTCAGGCAGGACAAGCTGGTTGTACGTGACCTACTTCTGTTTTGACTGGGTGATAGCTGTTACCGAACTTGGGGTCACAACTTGCATCCCAACTCAGGTACTCAGGTCTGGCCATCCTCGGTAGGCTAATTTAAAGAGCCAAACTAAAAGAGAAAAGCAGCAGAGAGGCAGAGGTAGAGCTCTGAGTTCAAGGCCAGCCTGGTCTACAGATGGAGTTCCACGACAGCCAGGGCTGTTACACAGAGAAACCTTGTCTCAAACAAACAAACAAAAGTGAAAAGCAGAGCCAGGTGTAGTGGTAAAGTCTTTAGTCCCAGCACTCTAGAGGCAGAGGCAGTCGGATCGCTGTGAGATTGAGGCCAGCCTGGTATACATAGGAGTTCCAGGACAGCCAGAGTTAAGATCCTGTCTTAAAACAAAACAATCAAAAACGTGGGAAGCGGAAAAAGCTTTACCCAATGGGACCATGCTGGAAAGAGAGACAAAGGGATCCATGAGCTCTCCGAGTCTGTCTTCAGTGTCCTGAAGTGAGATCGAAGTTTAAATAGAGGGCCACAGACACACACATCTAAGTGGTCCCAGTAAAGGTGTGGTCCTGTCCACCATGTGGGCTTCAGGCTCAGCCTGGGATAGAAGTGTGTGAAACCTCTTTCCTTCTCAGTGTGGGGTTCCTGGGCAAATTGCTGTCTCTTTGGGGTCCTTTGTTTCACTAGTAAGATCAAGAGGCACAGTGTCTCTTTAGAATGCTTTCATTTCAATCAGACTGTTGCAGTAACTGGGTAGTACTGGCAGGGAAAGATTTCAAACATCACTCCTACCTGTGGGATAAAATGAAAACTCTAAGAAGTAGAAAAGGACATGAATTGTTATCTGTTAAATCCAGATTAAATGCCTTGATGAAGTTGCCTTGTTCTCAGAAAAGCCTAGAGCAGGCACTGTCCTTATTACGACAGAGGGAGAAATTCCAGTAACTGTGGCCCTGGCCCGCAGGATCCCCAGCACCCTCCTCCGCTCTCCCTGGAGCAACCCTACCTCCTGAGACACTCCTTGGAGGCACCTGCCCTCCCTCGCCTAAGCTCCTCTCTTCCCTCACTCCTGGCCGATCTCACACAGCTTAAAAGTTACCAACTTTGAAAGGTTCTGTCTCCCCCAACGGACACACAACAGCCAAAGCTGTATCACAACCACACAATAGTGCTGCTGTTTGTCTTCTTAAACGTAACATAAACTGTAAGACCCGAAGACAAGAACTACAGACAGAACCAAGCCTGAAATTACACAGGGTGGGGCAGAATTATGCAGATAATTGGAAGGATTCCACTGGCAAAGAAGATTGTCCAGGGAAGAAGATAGCTTACTACTTTGTCTAAACATTTTTTTTCTTTTGGTTTGTTTTTGGAGACAAGGTTTCTTGTCCCAGAACTCACTCTGAGAGTTCAAAAGCCTTAAACTCACAGATCCACCTGCCTCTGCCTCCTGAGTGCTGGGATCAAAGGCGTGCGCCACCACCGCCTGGTTTACAACTTTGTCTAAACCTTTAAGAAGATATTTAAGGGCCGAGGATGCAGCTCTGTTGATAAGAGTACTTGCTTAGCATCCTGGAAGCCCTGGGTTCAATTCCCAGTACCATAAACTGGGTGTACTCACTCACACCTGAAATCCCTAGGGAGACAGAAGCAGGAGGATCAAAAGTTTGTGGTCATCCTCTGCTACACA